GTGCAAGCACCGCATATAAGCATGATGGCTGGGGATAACTTTCTTTATTAACGGTGCAAAAATGTCCGAAATGCTTCGAGATCATCTGCCTGTTCTTCGACGTTAGCGGTCTTTTCCAGGTTTGGCAGGACTAGTGAACTCAGTGAGCCGAATCTGACGAAGTTCATTGAGCGGTATTAATAAAACAGACTGTCTCTTCACACTGTGCCTACCTCATATTTCGATGCGAAACGCTTGGTATTCCCGGTGCAGATGACAAGGTTTGGCGAAGTTCTCGTGCGTAAATACGTCACAGGTTTTGTGCGTTGAACTCCACGTGTGAACAGGCCAATTTCGGGAAATCTCGGTTCCGTTAAACTGTGTCGTGTTGAAAAGATGCATCGTGTGAATAAGCCTTTAATCTTCTTTTGGTTTCTAGTGTTTTTTTTCCCTCGCGACTGGAAAGCCATATCTTGCTGTTCTTCTTTTATGATTCCTCCAAACTGAAAGAAATAAAAATATATGCAACGGGAGGGAGTGATTGTGTAGGTGATAAGGAAAAAAACAGATATTCCAGGTTTCTACGCGTGTGCCTCAAATGAAGTGTAACGACAGTCTAGACACTGCTCACATTTCAATCAATCAGCCATTTTAAATTTTATTCGAATTTTCATTCCAAGGTTTTTCTACTGAGCATGTAGGCCACTAGCCTTGTCTGAGGAGCTTTGGATCTCATAACAATTTCTGAAAAGCTTTCCATGACGGCGTAAACAATTTACAAAAGGGTGATACACACGCACAAAGGTCCGACATATCGGCCGGATGACAAAATCTGACCAGGCCACCATCTGACGCCGCGATTGGCCAGTACCTGGTCGGAATCGGTCACCTTTCTGAAGCGTTACAGGCGTATTCAGACGGGGGAGAAATTCTTCTTTTTGCTCCCCAGGATGCCCACTACGTGGTAACAACGTCACGCTTTTGCTCAGAGCCGCGCTGACGTAGACATCCCAGGGGGATGGGGGAGCTTTTACTCGGGCTGCACAAGCACTCTCCGCCTGGGCGGGGGGATCTTTTTGCAAGTGGCGGTATTTTATTCGCGTGTCTGTCAGTCAGCTTTACAGGTTTTGCTCAGTGAGATGTTGGTGGTGGCATCAGGATCGCCTAACTTGTTGTGGCTTGCGCTGTTGCGCATGTCATCCGAGGCACTCGAAGGAGTCGTCGATATTCATCGATGCTGTCCTCAAGCTGCTCCACGTTCAGCTGGTTCTTGATTCTCCATCATTTGTGTTGCATTCAACCATTCAAGGAGCATCGTTCTTTTAGCAGGAAGCAGTTCGTCGTCCTCTGCATCTAAGAGCGCTGCTGCCATAATCGTGTATCGCCGTTTCATCGACGCCTGCGTTTTTCTACTCTTGTCAGCGCGCAGAGTTGCACCGCTAGATGCGTCTGATAAAGGGCTAGGAAAACCGGCGCCGTGGCCGTGGCGAGCCGGAGAAATTTCACTGCAGAGCCGGGGAGACTTCACTTCTCGCCACGACACGTCCCGGCAAGCCACGGCGTCCCGCCCCGTGTCGTGTTCCATGACGAAAGGCTTCGTTCGGCAATGCTTGCGCGGAGTACGTCGCGGCGGGGCGACCGGCCCGACTTCCGGAGGCAGCGAAACGCACCGAGCGCTTGGACAGAGGGTGGGCCAGTCCACATCGATTCCCTTCTCCCACTCATCACGGCTGGCAACGGCCCACCGTTGTGTTCAAACAGAAAAACGCAAAGGAAGTCCAGCTTTTTTGACGGAGCGGTTAGACGTTCACGGACCACGTCTCCAGTTTGCATACCCCTCAACACCGACATTCCTCTCGATTCCCCGCCGGTTGTGTAGATGCTTGAGTTGGGAAGGTAGTCCCGCTGGTTCCGCCAATCTCAAATGTCACGCACATCCCACCCCGAAAAGCATCCCATCCCTTGTGTAAACACCCAACACCACCTAGACTTTAAGACCTCTCCCCTATGACGGCACGCTATATTCCCTGGCGTCAGGTGGTGTTGGACCGCCTGAAATTACAACAGGTATGACAACAGGTACAACAGGTGGTGAGAGAGATTTGGAAAGGGGTCATGGTGCCTGGCTTGACTTTTGGAAACGCAGTGCTATGCATGAAATCCGAAGTGCATGCGAGACTAGAAATAAAACAGCGCGGAGTAGGTAGACTGGCTTTGGGGGCACATTGCAAAACGCCAAACCAGGGAGTACAAGGAGACATGGGATGGGCGTCATTTGAGAGCAGGGAAGCGGTGAGCAAGATAGAATTTGAGGATAGGTTGAGGCAAATGCATGGGGAGCAATGGGCACGAAAGGTTTTCAGCTATTTATACATGAGGAGTGTAGACACAAAGTGGAGACAGCGCACTAGGAAATTAAGAGGAAAGTTTTTGGGCTATAGCGAAGATACGGAAGAGCAAGTCTCAGTTAAGAAGAAAGTTAAGGCCACAGAAAGAGATCGGTGGCTAGAGGGAATGCAGACAAAGACGGCTCTGGAAAGCTATAGATTAAACAAAACAGTTATTGCGAAAGAAAGCATTTATGACAATTTTAGGGGAAGCTCATTGCTGTTTGAGGCGAGGACGGGTGTTCTGCGAACCAGATTATAGTGAAGTACCAGGAAATAGATACAGTGTGCACTGCTTGTGGAGAGGAGGACGAGACGGCTGAGCACTTGATACTCTACTGTAAAGGGCTTCACCCTATGCCTACCGAAGACAACATATAGATTTAATAAAGTCATTGGGTTTTAGAGACAGCGAAGGGAGAGTGGATTTCAAGACTGTAGAGATTACCAAGCAAAGATTAAGTGAATGGTGGCAGAAATCGAGAGAAAGCTAGGTATTTTCGTATTCACTGATGGCAAGGGGGTTTCATAGCCTCACTTTCTTTGCACTGCGGAGTGAATATAGATTTCACATTTAAATATTCTAAGCTTAAATGGTAAAACAAAATGGCTAGGTGGCGTAAGCTACCGCCCGATCCAAAGGGCTCAGCCGTATTCATCCATCCATCCATCTCTATTTTGCTGTGGTTCGGAAATGGCGGCAGAGACCATAGCGAAGTGCGTTTCGTCAAATTCATTTTGCAGTTT